GATTGAACAGAAATTCAAGCTCTATTTGAACAAAAACCTTAGTGAAAGTCTTAGGATCCAAGGAAACCTTAATTCCGACTCAATAGACTTTATCTTTTGATAAAAGGATATTTAAAAATCTCAACAAAATTAAAAGGTATAGTGATTAAATTTCTATCTACCACACTTTATTGATATGATAAATATGCATTTTATTATTAAGATTTGATAGTAGCAGAACACAGATTAGACATTACTTGATTTGTAGAGCCCATTGATTTTCTCCATGGATTGTATCTCAACACTTCGACAATAGAAACCATCTAATGTTTTTCGTCTTTCTCTGTTCTATAGTACTAAACTTGAAGTGTCTTCCTAGTAGAACTAGAAATGGTACTACTATCACTTTATAATATCAGAAGTCAATATCTTTTTTTTCTGGTTTTTACGAGACAGGGTTTCTCTGTATTGTTTTTGAGGCTGTCGGTCCAGCCTGGCCTCGAACTCACAGAGATCCGCCTGCCTCTGCCTCCCGAGTGCTGGGATTAAAGACGTGAGCCACCACTGCCCAGCCCAGAAGTCAATATCTTTAAAAAGTTTTAATCTCCAAAAAGACCTTAAAATACAATTTAAAACACAATTCCTTGTTTTGAAGATGGATCCTAAAACCAAATAGTTATTTGTAAGTATACTTAATTTTATTCAACATTTTATTTATGTTTATGTTACAAATAAATCACTGTGGCAATGGCAATTTAGAGAAGAAAGGGCTTATTTGGAACTTACAGTTCTAGAGCTAAAGGAGTTGATTATCATCATGATGGGGAGGACAGCTGCAGGCATAGTCTTGGAGCAGCAACTGAGAGCTCACATCTCTTGACCCACAAACAGGAAAAAGAGAGCTAACTTAAAAAGACATGAGTCCTTTGAAATCTCAAAGCAAGACAGCAGTGACAACCCTCCTCCACAGAGGCCACATATCTCAATCTTTCCCAAATATTTCCACCAACTGGAGACCAAATAATTATTCAAGTCAAGCCTATAAGGGCTTTGGGCTTTGGCATTCAACTTACCATGTAAAATTAGCAAAAGCAGTGATGAAAACAAAATATTTACTATTTGGACTCAAGGTCACTCTACAAATGTTGGACAATGGTTAACAAATAAAATATAAAACAGATTGAAACTCCATCTATACAATGACCAAGCCACTAGTCAGATATATTTCTAGGATTCCTTGTTAGATTTTACATCTGAAAAACTCAACTGTGTTGTATTAAAATACAATAGCACTTGAGAGACTTTAGAATAATTTCTTCTGATCCTAGTTCATGATTGATGGCTAATTTGGTATAGAGCTCTATTTGTTTTCTATCATCTAATACTTGCCTTTACCCACTATGTATTTTATAATAGGCATGAGTCACCTTTTTCAGATTAATGCTCCTTCCTGCTGAATCCTTATAGATATGTTTGCTCCTATCTGATATACTCCCTTTGCACTTCAATTATTATGCATAATAAGCATAGTGCAGAGTGCAACTAGAACAATTAGCCAGTCTAAATCATGACATTAGACAAAGATTTTGTACTAAAACCTGTATATGTTCATGTAATACATATACATGTATAGCAATATGTAATTTGTGCTGTTTTTAAGTCACAAATGAAGTCTGGAAATTTTATAAAGTCCAACTTAAAATCTGTGTCTACCTGCCTATCATCTATCTATCTATCTATCTATCTATCTATCATCTATCTATCTATCTATCATTCTATCTATCTATCTATCTATCTATCTATCTATCATCTATCTATCTAAATATCATCTATCATCTAACAGCTTTTTCCTTTTCTTTCTTCCTTTCTTTCTTTCTCTCTTTACTTTTTCTCCCTGCCTTCCTTCTTTCCCTCCTTCCTATCTTTCTTTCTCACTTGCCTAATGACTTTGCAATATGGACTGAATTAACTTGGTGCTTGCTGTGTAGAATGGGCTGGCCTCAAACTTGTTAGCAGTTTTCGTACCTCATGCTCCAGAATCCAGAGATTACAGATATGAGAAATCATACATAGTTTACATCCATAAATTATCATGTAATAGTAATATGAAAAAGAAAGACAGCAGATTTGTAAAAGATAGCACTCAGATAGTAGTGCAAATAAAGCAAATTTAGGTCAATTATTTATTTTTTGAGATTCTATATGAAGTATCTTCAAGGCAGATTATTATATCCGTCAGAAATCCTGATATTAATTTTTATGCAATTGAAATCTTTTGTGAAATGGAATTCATGCTTCATTCTTACCTATGCAACATATAAAAGTGGACATTCTTTGATAGCTGGAAGTGTGAGTGTCCCAGACCACTGAAGATGGTTTTCATAGGAGAGTAAAAATTGGAGGTGGACAATCCCACAAATTTAGTAGTATATTTGAATAAAATGTCTTTAACTTAGCTAATTATGTTATTTATCTTATTGAACTTACTCTATTTTTCTTGTATGATACTCACAGATATTTTCACTCAAATTTTACTAATTATTTTAACTTTAACATTCTAATGTGTAAGTCGAATGAAAAATGCTACATGGGACATGACTACTTGAGCAAATTAAATGATGATTTAACTATCAGCCAGATGGCAAATCATAGATAGGCAAATAATACAGACTGAATTTAAATCATTTTCTAATTACTCAGTGTATACTGTGTTTGTCTTTCAGTAGATGACAAAAACATATTGAGGAACACTGGATTTCTCTTATAATTCTTCCCAATCCACTTAACATAATATTTATCTAATACAAGGAAATATATGAGCCACACAGTGAAGAAATATAATTGATCAACCAATTTTTAAAAAAGTGATAACAAAACCCATAGCAATATTAATGAAAATTCTGTAAAAGTAATTAAATTGGAATATATGTATTAAAGTTTGGTCTCACTCTTGAAACTGTGGTTATATTTAAATTCTTCTATAGTCCTTTATAAGTGACTTATTAGTGACCAGTAAAGATAAAATTAATTTAATCTAAAAACACTAAACATCACAGAGAAAATTATATTTAAGGACATGAGTAATACCTATGAAAGAGCTACTGACACTTAAGTAATTTCTTAGACTAAATTAAATATTCAAGTTCCTTCCTTCTCATTCCCTACCTCCCTTCCTCTTTCCCTGCTTTCTCTCATTCCATTTCTTTCTAGAAGCCTCCCCACTTTAACAGGAAAAAGGGGTGATCCTGTTCTGAGATAGTACTTATCTTAATATTAAGGAATATATGTGAATAAGTTGCAGTTACAATGATGAAAATAGTCAAAGGGGACAGCTGAATTTTCCTGAGCCAGTATTTGTCTTAGCATCAAGGAGGAGATATAAGACAGTTGCACTTACTATGATGAAAATAATCACCAGAAAATTTCATTTTGGGTGGGCTCATTCAAATGCCTTTCAAAGTCTGCAAAAGCTTTGAATTTGAGGAATTTTGGGAACAGTGAATTCAAGAGTTTTAAAACTGAACTATATTTCATTATTTTATTTGTTGATAAAATATTATTTCAATGCTTCATTCTCAGTCTCCAAGTTGTTATAAAATTCTGACATGTACTCAGTCTTTACTATGCCCTCATTTCTTTCATAAAGTCATCTTATGTATTATGTCAAGCAGACTGTATGTTCAAGCTTACAGAGAAGGAAAACAAGGTAATTGTGTATAATAATATGTACAGGTCACTATATCTAATAATGAACGAAATTGAAAATCAAAGTATATTAAGTTTTATAGTATAAAACTATGTCCATATGTTAATATTGAGGAGAAAAAAACTAATGGACTAATTATGAAACAGAATTATTAACAAACAACTTTATGGCTTATATTTGGTGTTTATATAATTATGTCTGACTGGTACAGTACCACAATTCGATAGTAGAATTACAAGCAGTTTTCTATTGTGCTATAGGGTAGCTACAGTTAATAATGGTATATTAGATATGTCAGAATAGCTCTAAGAAAGAATTTTGAGTGTTTTTCAATAAACAACTAGTAAATCATCATAGTGATATTTAAATTAATCATTATCACTAAAATACATAATGCATTGAAATACCACATTGTGCTCCATCAATATATTCAATTATGGATGCTGCATTTGTAAGCCGTTATCATTCCTAGCTACATTACAAATACTCATCCTTATACCCATATCTAAGTGCAACTCTCATCCATTACCCCAAATCTCTCTTTAGTAAACAGAGTTACAGCTGACCCACATGTGTCTGGGAATGTATATGGCTCAGGGAACATCACAGAAGAGAGCATAGTACAAAAGTAAAAATTAAAGACCAAGAAATCTGATGTAAGATGTAAGACTATATCTTCTTCATTATGACGGAAAGCTATACCCATGATATATGAACAGTAGGTCCTGCTTGAACAAGACTTTAACAAAGAAACAGTATTTGGCATTTCATTGCAATGAGAAAAATCTCACAGGACACTACCCGTAAATGAAGAACTATGGTCAACTAATGACAATTATGAAAAGGAATAAGCAGTTTTCTCAATGTCAGCCTTAAAAGCCTATACATATAGGCAACACTAGATAGACTCATAAAGTTGTATTTATATATTTTCTCATTATATGTATGTACAGATCTCTGTTTAAGAAGAATAATTGAAGAACAAGAGGTCACAAATTAGAGAAGGAAATTAAAGGACATAGAGGAGTTTTAGGGATGGTGAGGATGATTTAATTATATTTTAATTAAAAATAAAATATGTAAAATCCAACAAAAAATAACGTGGTAATTTTGAAAACATTAAAAAATAAAATAATTGCTGAATAATACAAATAATTATGATGTCAATAAATGGACTTTCATGCTTGAGTACTTTAAGTCCAGATTTGCCAGCACAAATCCAATCATACGACTAGTGTTCAAATATTTTAAAATTGTTCAAATATTTTAAAATTACATTACAAAAATTATTCATTGATAATTAAGTTTGAACTACCTTAGATAATTTTGTTCTGGATTCAGGCTTATGTTTGATAACAAAGTCATTAAGGAGACGAGATCGGTCATAGTTGGCATGTTCAGATTCATCCATGTAATCCTTATCCTTTCCCAGAGCTGAAACAACAAAAAAGGGAAAGTTACATTAACTTTTGCCTACCCATCTGACTGAGAAGACCCCTCATTTAAAATCTGTGTTTTTTGGCAAACACCATGGTTCCTGATGCTCACGTGCAGGCTAAAACAGCATGGAGTAGAAATGGGTTCAACCCCTCTCCTGACCTTTGGTGCCACGGCCTTTAGGAGAATCAGACATGATGTAGAACTTGAAGGACATGGCAGGATGCTCCTCCCTGAGGGCTCAGGGCAGGGGCATGGTGGTGAAACTGCTACTGGGCGCCATGGCGGGGGAGTCCATGAATCCATGTTCAATTGGAAAGTCATCACAGAACCATCCTCTCTAATCAGATTGGTGACATACAGCAGGAACAGTCCCAGAGGTCTTCACTTCCATATCTCCTGGTTCAGTGCCCTGACATCCATGACATTTTGATCAGACCCTAAAAAAATCTCCCCCACCACAGACTCCAAAGTCCTGCAGATGGTGAACATTATTTAAACTGAAGTCAAGAAGCTCCGGTACAGCTCTCCAGAATGTACTAGAGCCTAGGGTAACTACTAGGAGTGAGTGCTGCTGTCCATTGCCAACAAGGTGCTCAAGAGTATGGTGGCCAGGTTTACTGCATCACAGCTGATTACGCAGTAGGCCCAGGTGTCACCTTTGATCCAAAAAGACCTCGAAGGGCACATCAGAGACTTCAGCCTTATCCTGGGTGATGTAATTATCACTGATCTGAGCTTTAGCCGAGAATAACCAGCTACCATAGAAATCAAACAAGTGGCCCAATGGTAAGTCCTGTGGACTCTATTTTTGGTAGAAAATGTAAAGCAGGAACAGCAAGAGAAAATAGTGCAGGCTGAGCAGGAGACTGAGGTTGCCCAGATGTTCCATGAATCACTGAGCAAGAATCCTAGCTGCATCAATCTCAGAAAGATCTGACCCACCCAGAACCTCTCTAAGAGGATTGCCATGTCACAGAAAAATATGCTGCTGTCAATCTAGTGCAGATTCTACAGGATGTAGACTATTCTCTGGGAAGTGGCAGACTTTTTAAGGGTAAGAAATGAGTGTGGATATAATCAGCACTACCTCCAGAGTTATGGATACTTTCTTTTCCATTTTTAAGAAGCAGGCTATGGGATCAAGAACCCCCATACCTATTCAAACATTTTTGTTCCTCTGCATCTGTCCTCTTGGATTAAGGGAGACTGAAGACTAAGCTTTCCTGAGGGCTTTCACTGTCCCTGTATTGGTCCAGGTGTGTTGAGGCAGTGTGTGATTCCCAGTGATTTCCTAAATTATTGGCCCTCCCTCAGAATGGGGAGAGATAACCACCATCCCATGAATTATCACTAACATTTTTATTACCTAAAAATCTGTATTTTTTATGTTTCTGAAGTTTAGTCAAACAAAATGTTTACATAATCGTGGATCTAAAAGATAAGCTCAAAAACAATCACACAATGCCCGCCCTAAATTGCTGTCTTAATGGCAAGGAGGAGAATGACTTCTATGTGAACTCAGCACCACTGTGATTCTTCATGAATACAAGATTCTAAATACACACCCAGAGCCATGAAAACTATTTTGGACACATCATCTGATTTGAAGTTCTAGATAGAGATATTTGTAATAAGTAGAAACTTAACAATTTTTTTGATATTACAAATACTTTAAGTTGGGGTTCACTTTCTTAAAATATGAGTAGTTTTAGAAATTTGAGTTTGACTAAAGGGTTAAAGATGTCTACAAAAGTAAACCATAGTCTACAAAATAGGAAATATCTATGATGGCTGTTGCTATCATAAAAAACTCTGATGAATTTTACAAAATTCACATTTCATAAGATCAAATAGCTCATTAAATGCTATATACTTGATAATTTCAAAGAAGTAAGAGTTTTTGATATAGTTATCTTATAAAATTTGCTTATATCAATCAAACATGAATTTTACATAGATGACCGTATATAGTATTTTCAAGAATTCAGCCAATTTACTTGCTGTAGGAAAGAAAAGCAATATTACTCCCAAAGTGACAGTAACTTATTTAATTATCATCTTTAAATATATACTATGTTATGATACATATGAAGATGGAGAAATCAAGACATTCCATGACAAAACCAGGTCTAAACAATACATATCCACTAATCCAGCCCTACAGAGCCTTCTGGAAGGAAAACTCCAACACAAGGAGGGTAACTACAACCTGAAAAACATAGGCAATAGATAATCCCACTTTACTAAAAGCCAAAAAAGAGGGGGGTGGAAATCCACATACAATTCCACCACCACCAATCATTCCAAAACAAACAAGAATGAGTAGTGAATGGTCATTAATATTCCTCAATATCAATGGTCTTAACTCGCCCATAAAAAGACACAGGCTAACAGAATGGATTCGAAGACAGAATCCATCCTTCTGCTGCATTCAAGAAACACACCTCAGCTTCAAAGACAAACATTACCTTAGAGTTAAGGGTTGGGAAAATATTTTCCAATCAAATGGACTCAAGAAACCAGCAGGGTTAGTAATCCTAATATCTATCAAACTAGACTTTAAACTAAAATCAATCAAAAGAGATGAAGGAGGTCATTTCATATTCATCACAGTAGAAATCCACCCAGATAAAATGTTAATTTTGAACATCTTTGCCCAAATACAACGGCATCCACATTCTTAAAAGAATCTTTACTAAAACTCAAATTACATATAAAACCTTACACACTTACAGTAGGAGACTTTACAGCCCACTCTCACTATTCTACAGGACTACCAGACAGAAACTCAACAAAGAAACATAGGAACTAATAGCAGTTATGGCCCAATTGGAATTAACACATATCTATATAACATCCCATCCAAACACAAGAGAATATACCTTCTTCTCAGCTCTACATGGAATCTTTTTAAAAAATCAACCACATACTTGGCAATAGCAAACCTCAACAGGTACAAAAAAGTTGGAGTAACTCCATGTATCTTATCAGATCACCATGCTTTAAAATTGGAAGTCAACAACAATACTCATAGTAGAAAACCTACAAACTTTAGGAAATGGAATAATGCATAATTACACCATGACTGGATCAAAGAAGAAATAAAAAAAGAAATTAAAGACTTCCTAGATTCAATGAGGATCTCACTGAAAACAGTGCTAAGAGGAAATTTCATAACAGTAAGTTCCCACATGAAGAAACCAGAGAATAGTCACACTAGAAAATTAACAGCACTATTGAAAGCTCTAGAACACAAAGAAGCAAACTCACCCCAGAGGAGCAGATGCCAGGAAATAATCAAATTGAGGGTTGAAATCAATTAAGCAGAAACTAGGAAAACAATACTAATAATCAATGTAATGAAGAGTTGGTTCTTTGAGAAAACCAAGAAGATAGACAAACCTTTATCCAAACTTATCAAATAGCAGAGTGTGAACTTGCAAATTAACGAAATCAGAAATGAAAAGTGGAACATAACAATGGATACTGAAGAAATCCAGAGAATCATCAGGTCATATTTTGAAAACCTGTACTCCAAAAATATCTAAAATTCAAAGGAAATGGACAATTTCCTGGATAGGTATCACTTATCAAAATTAAATCAAGAAGAGAGAAGCAATTTAAATAGACCATATATCCTACGGAAATAGAAGTAGTCCTCAAAAGTCTCCCAACCACAAAAAGCCCAGGGCCAGATGATTTCAGTGAAGAATTCTACCAGAAATTCAAGGAAGACATAATACCAATTTTCGTCAAATACAATAGCAGCAGAAAAGTCAAACTCTTTTTATGAGGCTACAACAGCTTTGATACCCACACAAAGACACAACTAGGAAAGAGAACTTCAGACCAATATTACTCATGAGCATTGATGCCAAAATACTCAATAAAATACTGGCAAATCAAATCCAAGAACACGTCAGAAAAATCATCCACCATCATCAAGTAGGCTTCATCCCAGGGATGCAGGGATGGCTCAACATACGAAAATTCATTAATGTAATCCACCATGTAAACAAACTGAGAAACAAAAATCACATGGTTAACTCACTAGATGGTGAAAAAGCCTTTGACAAAATCCAACATCTCCTCATAATAAAGGTCTTGAAGAGATCTGGGATAACAGGAACATACCTAAACATAACAAAAGCTATATACAGCAAACCAAAAGCCAGCATTAAACTAAATGGAGAGAAACTCAAGGCAATTCCTCTAAAATCAGTACAAGACAAGGCTGTCTCCTCTCTCCATACCTTTTCAATATTGTACTTGAAATTCTAGCTAGAGTAATAAGACAACAAAAGCAGATCAAGGGGATACAAATTGGAAAGGAAGTCAAACTTTCACTATTTGCTGATGATATGTTAGTTTACATAAATGACCGGAAAAACTCTAGCAGGCAACTCCTACAGCTGATAAACACCTTCAGCAAAGTGGCAGGATACAAGATCAACATAAGAAAAAATCACTAGCCCTACTATATACAGATGATAAAAGGGCTGAGAAATCAGAGAAACATCACCCTTTATAATTGCCACAAACAACATAAAATACCTTGTAGTAGCGCTAACCAAACAAGTGAAAGACCTGTATCACAAGAACTTTGAATCTTTAAAGTAAGAAATTAAAGAAAATAACAGAAAATTGAAAGAGCTCCCATGCTCTTGGATAAGGTAGGATCAACATAGTAAAAAAGGCAATCTTGTCAAAAGTAGTCTACAGATTCAATGCAATCCCCATCAAAATCCCAGCACAATACTTCACAGATCTTGAATGAGCAATTCTCAACTTTATATGGAAAAACAAAAGACCCAGGACAGCCAAAATAACCCTGTTCAACAAAGCAACGTCAGGACACATCACAATCCCTGTCTTCAAGCTCTATTATAGAGCCATAGTCCTGAAAACAGCTTGGTAGTGGCACAAAAATAGAGAGGTAGACCAATTGAATCTAATTGAGCACCCTGATGTTAACCCACACAGGTTGTCTTCAA